ACCTTCTATCTGTGAGATTCAGCCATGTTGTTGCATGCTACGAAAAGATGTGTAAACAGGGAGTGATGTGATCAGCTGTGCATTTATACAGATCAGTGCGGTCGCGGGTAGTAGAATAAATAGAGCAGGGGTTCTAGCCTGCGCTAGAGCAGGAACAATGAGGATGGAGAGGAGGGGGTGGAGTCCAGCGATATTTTGCAAGGCAGAGTCCGAAGGATTGACTAGATATGGGGAATGAGGGAGAAAGGCGAGTCAAGGAAGATGCCAGATCTCTGGCTCGGGCAACGGGGTGGATGGAGGAAGCATCTCTGGGTTGGGGACCCAGGAGTGGGGGAAGATGATGAGTGTGAGGTACCTGTGGGACATCCAGAGGGCTGTCCCTGAGGCTGTGGGAGAGACAGGCCTGGCGCTCAGCTCAGGAGAGAATGAAGGAGGGATATGTTCCTTCAATATTCCCCACCATCAGCAAGTAGTAGGTGACACTAACGAGAGGAGATGTGCTTGCAGGGGGCTGGGAAAGGCACACAAATGGATAAAGAAGGAACACTGAAGAGCTTTCTGGGAGCAGGTGGTTCCAGCAGGTGTGCAAATCAGCATGGAAATCCTAAACGCCCAAAGCCGCCCTGCCTAGCTCATCAGGCCTTCCTGGACTCCATCGCTGCATTCACCTGCAGCCCAGGAGGATTTGAGTTGCAAAACATCCTTCGGATTAGGGGCTCTCCCAAACCCTTGCCAGCCCCTCCTTGCATCAGCTCCTGCTGACTCAGCAGTCTTTTCTCCTGGCTGCCAGGACGCTTGCCTTTAAAGGCAAAAAGGGCCCTTCCGGGCCAGTGCTACTCACTCCTGTCTCCCAGCCGTTAGACCTGTTAGACTGTGCTTGTGTGCTCTCGGGCACGCACAAGGCGCCAGCATCTGCCCGTCCACCTGGCACCTCCTGACTAGCCCCAGAGAGCTCTTTTCCTTCCAACTGCCTGGAGCAGGAACTGCTTGGAATTGGACCCAGAAAAGCGCAAGTTCCTGCCAGGGCTACTGGCAGCCTCTGGGGAACCAAGCTGCCAATGTAAGCGCAACTTGGGGAGGGGGGCACTTGGCCTCTCCAAGCTGAACGCTGGGCCTCCACAGCCTCCTCACATTCCCTTTAGAACCTCAGGTTTCAAGGGTAGGCTTGTGGGAAGCTCAGAAATCCTCAGGTCCTTCCCCTGCTCAAAAACCCTCTATGGCTCCCCACTGCCCACTGAATAAAGCCATAACTCCAATATCTGGCATTTGTGGCCCTTTGTGGTCCCATTTCTTCAGCCCCTTTTCTCATTCAAATTCCCCCTACCTTCACCTCCTCTCTCCCAACCCCCTACACTCAGCCACAAGGGACTACTTCTCCCAGCTCTCTTGCTTAAGCTCCACCTCCAGGCATCTGCTCAAGCCGTCTTCTTCCACATGCAAACCTTCCCCGCTCAGATGCTATGTCCTCAGGCTTTCTCTGGTGCTCCCTCTCTGGCTGGAGTTAAATCCTGTTTCCCAGGACTCAACCACCCAAATAATAAACCAACCAACCTGAGGATTTAACCTCTGACCCAGTGTCAATAGCTTCTGATGAATTTGCCTGTAAACAGTAGCCTCCGGGGTCAGAAAACTTTTACAGAGAGTGGAATTTCAAGTAGGCAATGAGGGGGTCTGTGCTTGGTAGGTATGGTGGTGTCAGGCAAAGATAAAGCTGTTTTTCCAGCCATTCTGCTTTGTCCTCAAGTGCTACCCAGCCCATGGGATGAGGATTTGATTGAATTTCTGAGATTAAGATTTAATACAGTTTATTTGGATAAACTTTTAGACACATCAGTTATTCCTCAGGCCAACACAAGAAGGGATCCTTATGCCCATTTTATCAGTATTGGTCTTGAGGCTCTGAGAGAAGCAATCTGCAAGTAACTACCAGAGCTGTGACTCCACCATACAACGCTGGTCTCTAATTGTGGTCCACAGATCCCTCCCTCCCTCCAGCAATCACTCTCTGCCTGTCTTATGTCTTTGCACGTGCTCTTCCCTCTGCCAAGAACGGCCTTCCCTCTGAGCTGCCTGGTGAACTCACAGTCAGCCTTCCACACCTTGCTCGGCATGACCTCTTCCCTCACTCAGGTTCTCTCTGTTCCTCCCCTTCCTTGTACACATTCTTATCCCTGCACACTCGACTTGGTGTTGTTGCTGCTCTTCTCCCCTCTTGCTTCTTCTTCACTTTGGAGGTTCCATGAGGCTAGCAACTAGCTCACATTCCTCTGTCCCCCGGGAAGAGGCCAGCCCAGGGTTGGCCTGCTTGGTGTGGCGCATGAGCTGAGTGGGGTCCAACAGCTGGGAAGGGTATACACAGTAGACTGGATGTGCTAGGAAATAGGCAGCTACGGAAAAACTTGGAGCAGGGAAGTGGCAAAGCCCAAAAGGTACTTAAAGAAGAGCTAGAAGTGTTGGCAGGATGGACTGGAGTGGAAGGGAAAAGAGATAAGCAGACTAGCCGCTTTTTGGTTCATTCATTCATTCACTCATTCACCCATGGGCTTCAGCTCCAGAAGCTGTCCTGAAGAGGCTCACAGTCTGGGGGAAGAGAGACAGAGGGCAATCAGCCAACAAAGAAACACCAAAGGGTAAAGGAAAGAAAGATTCCCACTTGGGGAAATCAGGGACAGTACCCCAGAGGAGGCCCCATTCCAGGGGTGCCTTGTGCGATCAGAAACATTTGGCATGCTGAGGTGGAGAGTGGGCTTCCCAGGCAGAGGTAACAACCTGAGCAAAGGTATGGCTGTAGAAAGTGCCTGGTGTGAGGGGTGAGACCCAAGATGAGGCTGAGCTGGTAAACTGGTGCCCTGAAGAAGGGCCTTGACGGCCAGGCTTGGGTCTTGCTCCCTCCATGACAATGTCAGGCTTCTCAGCAGGACAGTGACAAGGTCCAGGACTGGAGGAGGTGAGACCAGAGGAGCTAGAGGAAAGGCTGCAGGCAGCAGGGGAGGGAAAGACGCTGAGGTGGTGTAGAAGGTGGAAGCGGCAGGTCCTGGTGGCTCCTGTACCTGGGTGAGGAGAGAGGGTGAAGCTGCAGGTGGACCCGAGCTCTCCAGGGTAACACCTGGGAGGCCACAGAAATAGGAGCCATGGCCAGGGGGAGGCAAGCGATGTGTCCAAAATAGACCTGTCTTCCCTTCCAGGGCTCCTTGCTCACACAGCACAGAGAGAGAGAATCCAGGGGTTATCTGGTCAGCTCAGCCTCCCATTTCCTCCAGAAAGTAACACCACACTAGCCCCATTCTGCAGGGACAGGGACATTTAGCTTAAACTCAAGATGTTGGCAAGGCCTTTGGAATAGGGGTCCTTCCCTTCACTGTGTCTCAAATAAGGTACTGGTCTAGAAGAGCAAACAAGGTGAAATCAGATAATACTACTACTGTCGTTGTTGTTAGTTGCCATGGAGTCGGCTCAGACTCAAGGCAACCTTATGTATAATAGAACAAAGTTTGCCCAACCCTGTGCCATCCCATTGTTGGTATGTATGAGCCTATTGTTGAGGGTTTTCCTCCTTTTCGTTGACCCTCTACTTTACCAAAGATAATGATGTCCTTTTCCAGTGGTCTTTCCTGATGATGTATCCAAAGTAACCAAGCCAAAGTCTGACCATCCTCGCTTCAAAGGAGAATTCCGGTTGTATTTCCTCTAAGTCTGATTTGAAGTCAGATAATACTACTACTACCACTGCCTAAAGAGGACCTACTGTGTACCCAGCACCTAAGTACTCCATGTGTTTATTTCCAAATTGTAACTCTGACAATAGCACGTGAGGTTGGTTACTCATTAACTACATTTTACCTATGAGAAAACTGAGGCTTAGAGGTGAGGCACTTGCCCAGGACCACACTCGGGTCAGTATGCGTTCTGACTCTAGTTAAACCATTCGTTTAACTTGTTTCTCGTATTTTTCACTTAACCATTCAGTTTACCTGCCTCTTCCGTTTTCACGCATGTGTCGTGATAAATTCGCATGGGCCGTCAGGAGTAGAGAAAAGTTTCACAGAGGAGGTGACATGAAAGCCCAGGGAAGAGGCAGATATGGATTTCCAGGCAAAGGGACCAGCGCGAGCAAAAGCAAAGCTTGACTTGCCAGCAGGAATGTAGGAGGTGGGGTGGAGCGCGGAGGGAAAACTCAACCACTGAGCGAGACCTCCCGCAGTTTCCCTAACAAACAAGGGATTTACTCGCGGTAAATACCACTTACCACGTAACAGACGCTGTTCTAAACACTATAAATATTAACTCACTTAGTCTTCACAGCAAATTTAGAAGGTGGCACAGTGGTTAAGAGCTCGGCTGCTAACCAAAAGGCAGTTCGAATTCACCAGCCTGTCCTTGGAAACCCTATGGGGAAGCTCTACTCTGCCCTGTAGGGTCGCTATGAGTCGGAATCCATTCAACCGTAGCGGGTTTGGTTTTGGTTACTATTATTATCCCTAGGTTACCGAAGCTTTCCAGTGGCGGAGTCAGAACGCCGGAGTTCTCGGTCTTAAGCGCTACGCTATACCGTTCCTAGCTTGCCTTAAGCCGAATACCAACACCACTGCTTTGCTACGGGACGCCGCTGAGGCTCAGAGAGGTGCGCACACTTGCCCAGGGTCACACAGCGATTGCCCTTCTCCGATTCAGCGAACAAGGTGCGTTGGAGACTGGCAGCCTGAGTGAGGCCGCCGCCAGAAACACTGTAGTCACTAGGAGCCTTAGAGCCCCCCGCCCCCTCCCCCGATCACCTCCCTTGATCCCCTCCCCGCGGGGCCCCGCCCCAGACGTGCCCGGCCCCAGGCCCCTCCGCGCCGGAGGCTCTGCCCACACACCCCCGACACACCTCCCGGCGGCGCTAGCCAATGGCTGACGAGGGACTCGCTGGGTCCTATAAACGTTACAGTCCGCGTGCTCAACCACAAGAGGTGGCACTGGCGAGAGTGCAGGGCGCGGACGTCGGATCGTCAGAGTCAGTACCAGGGAGCAGGAGGCCAAGTGACGGGAGTCGGAGTCTCGGAACCCGTGCGGGAACCTGAGCCGCAGAGCGCCGCCCGCCTGCCCGCCCGCCCGCGCACCCGGCGCTGCCAGAGCCACTAGCGCAGCGCAGCCATGGAGCCCAGCAGCAAAGTGAGTCGCGAGGCCCCGCGCGCCCTTCGGCTCTCCCAGCCCAGAACAAAGGCACGGACCCCGCCGCCTCCTCCACCGCCCGGCCTTCCCCGGGGACCCGCCGTGTTGTGCGCCCGGGGCGGGCGATTCGCCTTCCTGAGCCTTGCAGGTCCACAACTCAGCGCTTGCCAGGGCGGGGGTTGAGGGTCGGGGGTCGGAATAAGCTCAGCATCTATCAGCGGGAGGGCGCCGCGTGTGTAGTTGGCGCCCGCACTGAGTACCGGCTTTCTTCCGGGGGCGCCGCGCGGTCCACGCGGTAGGGTGGAGGCCGGGGACAGAGGGCCCGAGCGCGGCACGTCGCGCACGGCCTTCCAGGCGGCTGCTCCGCGCCGGCTCCTCCCGGTGCGTAGGAGGGGGCCCGAGCGCGGCGCCCATTGGCCGAGCGGGCCGAGCCCCCGGCCCTTCCCCGGATCCGGCGCGCCGAGGAGGCGGAAGGCGCCTCACTCCCTGCGGTCCTGGTGCCGCTGCTCGCCCTTCCCGGGCGCCACAGTATGTGCGCCGCCTTGTGTTGGGCGTTTTGCGCGGCTTCTTACCGCCCTCGCGCCAGCCTTCCGAGATGTAGAGGCGAGAGAGCACTTACGTAAGGCCGGGGCTCGAACTCCGGGGTGTCTAGCTCTAGAGCTGAGAGGAAAACCCGGCCTCTGAGGACCTTTTTTCCGATTAGTACAGGCCCCAAAGCTTTTGCCAAGTGCTGGGGGGATTTTGTTCCAAGGTGGCACGTTCCTTGCTTGGGCAGGGCTGGGAGGAGGTAGATCCCAGGGGGCCGTCGTCATGAGCCCCAGGGGGTTGGAGGCTGGGAAGGGGCCCCAGGCTGGAGTTAGTGGGAGGAGCCGACGGCTGGGGCCTGGGGAACGAGGACAGAACTCTTCTTCTGGGGACAAACTTCCTAGATAGCATCTCTTTTTTCATCTGTAAAACGGATTTGTAATCCTTCCCTGCAGGGGAACTTCGTGCCTTCTTCTCTGGGCGATTCTTTTTCTACAAATATTTATTGAGCCCGCCTGTGTGCAGGGCATTGTTTCTTTCCTCCCTCCCTTCTTCCCACTTGTAAACGTTATTTTAAATCACATTTTTCTTTTGAAATACTCGCTCTTATTTGCTTGGGTTTTCCTATCTCCTGGGCGGGGAGGATGCAAGGATGCCCTTTTTTAATGCAGGACGAGGGAGTAGGACTGAACTCTGACCTGCTCCCCCTGTGGAAGTGTCCGGGGGGGACAGATCAGGGTCTTGGCTGGCAAGGGAGTGTCTGGCAGTGACCCCAGGCACAGGGTGTAGTGAGCATAAGGAGAGCCCAGGAGCAATCTCTAAAATTGTCGCTCTCCCGCCCACACCCAATTCGTACTCCCGAGGGGCAATCTCAAAGTTGTGGCACTCCCCCTCCCCCAATTTCAAGATGAGTAGCCTTCCCCCCCTTATCCGGCTGTCTCAGTCAGGCGTCTTCAATATTGTGGCGCCTCAGAATGTCATTCGTGCCTTGTTTGGCCTGCGCTGGGACTTATGCCCCAACGCAAGTGCCCCTCCTCTGTGTCGCCCCCATCGCTACGCACCTGGCCAGGCTGTACCTCAGCCATGAAAGGCTCCTTCATACCTGTAGAATCCAGACGACTTGCTTCACCCAGCCCTGGCCCTTGGGCTTGAGGTGAGACCCTGAGGAAGTTCCTGGTAGCCTTCCCGAAAGTCATCCGTGAGCCATTACCTTGGGATTAAACAAAATAAAAATGAAATGAGGAGTGATTTTAGCTAGTGGTAAGGGCTTGAGACGCTGAAGCCCACGTACCTGCTGTGTTATCTCAGGGCTCTGGCAGCCCACTTTACCTTGCTGGATCTGAGTTTCTCTGCGTGTAAGATGGGGATAATATCTTTCCCTTAAAACTAAGTTCTTCCAGGGTCACTATCAATTGCAATGTAAGTCGATTCTGGCGACTTCATGTGTGTCAGAGTAGAACTGTGCTCCATAGGGTTTTCTTTCTTTCTTTCCCCCACCCCCCATAGGGTTTTCAGTGGCTTTTGCGGGGGAAGTAGATCACCAGGGCTTTCTTCCAAGGCATCTCTGGGTGGACTCAAACCTCCAACCTTTCAGTTAGCAATCAAGTGTGTTGACCATTTGCACCACTTCAGGATAAGGACTATCTCTTCAGTCTGTGATGCAGGGCCCAGGTGTTTATGTACTGGGTGGATAAATTAATATTCTTTGTGGAGCCAGAAAAGCAGAGGAGAGAGTCAACAGCCACTGATAGTCTACTGGATTCTTTACTAAAATGCGTTTCAATGTCAACTAACCTACTGTAGCCCTGCTGATTCCTCACTTGTCAGGTTAGGAGCCTGGAGCTTAGAGAAGGAAAATAACTTCCCTGAAGTCACACAGCTAGTAGTAGTAGTAAGTGGCTGAGCTGGATTTGAACTCAGGCCCCTGGAAGGCCAGACGAACCAGAAAGGGCTCTAATTGTCCCTTTTCACCACCCTGTCTTGAATTTTGGGCTGAGTAGGGAGAGCTTGCCCATCTCTAAGGGCTGCCCTTGTACCAACTGCTTCTAGATGCTGTAGCAGGTGGGTGTTTCTCAGGCAGTGCTCTTCAGATTTTTCAATTACTCAGCCATGATTTTAGAGCAGCCCCCTCCCCCGCCATGGTTGCTCTGTATTTATAAATTCATGCACATGTATTATTATATTAATAGATTATATGTCTAAACAAACAAACAAACCAAAAAAAAGAAAACCCATTTCCAGCAAGTCAATTCCAACTCACAGCAACCCTATAGGACAGAGTAGAACTGCCTCATAGGGTTTCCAAGGAGCTGCTGGTAGATTTGAACTGCTGACCTTTTGGTTAGCAACCGAGCTCTTAACCAGTGTACCACCAGGGCTCCTTATACAAAATAGAAATTTTAAAAAACAAATACAGATAACAATTATAGTAATTTTTTTCTAAATCCTCTATGAATCATCTTGTATACATTTTGGGATAAAGCCCCTCTCTTTTGGAGACTAAATTTATTTAATCACCAAAGACAGCCTTTTTCTGGGGTTTTTTTTTTAATTGCACTTTAGATGAAGGGTTACAGAACAAGTAGTTTCTCATGAAACAGTTAGTACACATATTGTTTTATGACATTGGTTAACAACCCCACGACATGTCAACACTCTCCCTTCTCGACCTTGGTTTCGCTATTACCAGCTTTCCTGTCCCCTCCTGCTTTCTAGTCCTTGTCCCTGGACTGTTGGGCCTCATTAGTCTTGTTTTGTTTTATGGGCCTGTCCAATCTTTGGCTGAAGGGTGAACCTTGGGAGTGACTTCATTACTGAGCTAAAAGGGTGTCCAAGGGCCATACTCTCGGGGTTTCTCCAGTCTCTGTCAAGCCAGTAAGTCTGGTCTTTTTTTGTGAGTTAGAATTTTGTTCTACATTTTACTCCAGCTCTGTCCAGGATCCTCTGTTGTGATCCCTGTCTGAGCAGTCAGTGGTGGTAGTCGGGCATCATCTGGTTGTACTGGACTCAGTCTGGTGGAGGCCGTGGTAGCTGTGGTCCGTTAGTCGTTTGGACTAATCTTTTCCTTGTACCTTGTTTTCTTCATTCTCCCTTCTTCCCGAAGGGATGAGACCAGTGGAGTATCTGAGATGGCTGCTCACAGGCTTTTAAGACCCCAGATGCTACTCACCAAGGTAGAATGTAGAACATTGTCTTTATAAACT